ATAATATTCCATTGTTTTATTGGGCAGGATAGCCCAGTGGTTAGTTCTGAGTACCAAAATTGGAGCAGTGAGGTTCGTGTTCGAGACCGCAACAAGCTGTGAATGTTATGCGATGTTAAGAATCAGCGACAGGCCTAACGGCTTAATTAATGCTGAAACAGCTATATCATAGTTTAATTTATTGTTATTACAATATTATTATTTATTATTATCATTATTATTATTATTATTAGTATTATTATTGAATTTTGTTCAGCATCAGCGTCTATGATTTGTAACGGCTCAAAGATATCATGAAAATACAATTTGAAATGATACCAACTGATCGAATTCTTAACGATAACCAAAAGACCGCACGCCGTTAAACATCAACATCATATTTTAATCTATACCTTCAAAATTTTTCATACTTCCATATTACTTTCACCGATACGTTGATAATTGAATAAAATCATTTATTACTACATAGTAATACACTCACATGTGACATTGCAACGTACTAGTAATGTGGCAAGTATGCAACACTTTAAAGATATATTAACATTTTAATACTTCCTTCACAACATACTTAGGCCATTGTCTGAATTAAATTTTTTACTCAGCGTCAAGGTGCGTGAGGTTTAGAGGCCGAACTCCCGGGTATATGCACATTGAGTGTGGTTATTATATGAATATACAATATTTTAATATTACATTGGAATAACATATTTACCTGCTATAATAAAGATTGTATATATGGCGGCAACTTTAGGCTACCTTCACCTGCTGCGTATGGAATCAAGTTTGCTGGAGACCCAACTTCATTTCATTTGTGAAAGTCATCGGTTAATCAATTATTCCAGAAATCACTAAACACGTACACACACTCCATGAATACACTTCGTGAACTCATTCCATACGCATTCTTTATCTTAATGCCCACTTATTTCCACTCTGTAAAAGGCATTCCATGTACACACTCCATTTGACAAACATTTCATGCACTTATTCTATATATTTTGTACCTTCGCGCACGCCATACATCCACAGTGTACACGCACTCCATGCACACAATTCGTGACTTCATTCCATACACTCTCTAACTTCATGCATGCCTTAAATACACTCCGCACGCACTCACTCCCTACACTCTCTACCTTCGTGCACTCCGTACTTCCTCTCCGTTCATGCACTTCCTGCACTTATTCCCTACACTCCACACCTCCATACACTCCGTGCACTCATTCCCTACACTCCATACCTTCGTACACTCCGTACTTCCACCCCGAACACGCATCTATAGGACAGCGCTGCGGCTGTCATCGTCTCAGCAGTAAATTCCATTACAAATGTCGTGCAGATAAGAAGAACAGCGAGGAAATAAAGATAAGAAAGAAAAGATAAGAAGAACAGCGAGGAAATCCTGCGTGTTGTTCCAGGTTACCTTGGATGTAGCGATACCAGTTAGTCTGCTCCTTAATAAATACCTTAACGTTCAATGTATATGCGTTAGACCACAACACTTACTTTCGCTATATTCTATATTACCAAAAAATAACGCTACCTTGGATGTAGCGATACCAGTCAGTCTGCTCCTTAATAAATACCTTAACGTTCAATGTATATGCGTTAGATCAAAACACTTACTTTCACTATATTCTATATTACCAAAAAAAATAACGCTCATTACATGCGATATGTTTCGAAATAATTACTTTTATTTCATGCAATTATGAACTGCAAATAATTGCTCTACAATAATACCAAGCCGAAGAAAAAATGATTGAATATACGAAATACCAAACTCTCAGGAAAAATTATTGATCTTTTTGTCCAAATAATAACCCACATTCTTACCCACTGTAGGAATACAGAGTGGTTATAATGCCACTGAATAATGCCTGTTAAGGAGTCACCTTGCATGGCATGATCAATCACCTACACAAAAAAGCATAGGTTATAATCCTGCAACAATAATGCGTAAAGAATTATAGGATGTAAAATCACTATAATTTGATTTGGAATTAAATCCGACGTAAATTTCATGCGAAATTCATAGCACTCATTTTACCTAATTTACAAACTGAATCTGATAACAGAATGAGTTGCAGCAATCCATTAGAATTATTCTGGAAATTTAATATAATAGCGCGCTGGGCGGACGCTTCTAGTTGGCCGTTAAAGATCAGGGGCCATACTTTCAAAAAAAGTTAAGAGATCGTAAGTTCATCAGCCAATCATTGACGGCCTCGCAAGCAAAATCCACCAATCATAGACAAGAAAATAGAGCGTAAGTACTTACGTTCACTTAGCGAGTTTTGAAAGTATCAACCAATCATAGACAAGAAAATAGAGCGTAAATACTTACGTTCACTTAGCGAGTTTNATATGTTAAGGAGATATGGTATTGAGATATGGTATTGAGATATGGTATTGTGATATGGTATTGCCATAAGGAATGTTGTGACAAGGTATCCGGCAATACCAGAAAGTAATCTTGATACCCTTTGCCAATGGTCTCTATTGCAACGCTACCTCATCGAGATGTAGCGCAAAACAACGGGAAATTTTAAACACAGAAATAAAAAATATATATTTAAAGTTTTTGCTCTAAGAAAACTTGTATGCATGTAATTTATGCCTGTATGGCACACAAATATCTCGGTAGTCGGCACCACTGTGTGCGAAGAGTGGTTCAAATCTCTGCCCTTACCTGCATGTAAAGAGAATGGTTTACATATTTCTCTGCCCCATGCACTCTATACAGAGAATGGTATGAATCTATATGCATCGCTCTCTGAATCCTTATGCTCTGAAATTTATGGTTGTATACAAACGTTTTACAAAAGAAAAATAACCATTTGAAATGCATAAGAGATTTTAAGAATATTTTTTCCATCTCTCCGTTTAATATAGCGTTGTGTAGGTTATATATTCATCCATCAAAATTCCTTCTCGCAACAAAAAAAAACTAGCGCATTTTCTCTGGTTGTGGATTAATATCCATTCATTTCATGGTATTGATTCATTTGCTTACATTTACTTACATTGAATGAATTACTTACCTATATACATTACCTATTAATGCATCTTAAGCGTGCGATAGATTTCTGTCAAGAATTCTCCATTTTCATAGATAATTCTTAAACTCGAATTTTTACTGTTAATAATAATGAGTACTTTTTACCGTTAATAATGAGCAGTAAATAAAGTTGCATGAATGACAACAATAAAAATACGTCAACCAATTTGCTGGAATTGCTTTCAAATTGCTAGATCGAAATTGCTTGGTAGAACAACTCCACAAACGTCAAGAAGAAAAGTGCGACTTCAGAAGAGCGTTAGATGGCACAGCATCACCTAAATGGTGCTGTTTTGAAGCAAATAATATTATTATATGATTTATTCTCATATTCGAAATATATATTCCATCGTATATCCTCAAAATTGCTCACGAGAAACAAACACTAACTCGGAATATCTTCAAAAAGAACAGCACTTCCCCAGAGCAGCACCTCATAACATAACATAACATAGTGATGTCGGCGCTGAAGTGTAGGCCTGATGTGGCCTGTCGCCGATTCTTTTCCTTTTCGTGCCTTGTTCATAGATCTAAACTCGTGTCATTTGACCGGATCTTTTCATGACTGGCGATAGTTTGAAGTAACTACTAGACTTCCACCGGGTTCGATCAAATCTGAACATATATTTTTCCATAGCTTTATCTAATCTGTTCTTGAACGCGTTCATACTTGGAGCGCCAACGATGTCATCGGGGAGGCTGTTCCACATGTTGGTGATTCGAAGCGAGAAGAAATTTTGTCGCGTGGAGAAGTTGCAGCGCAGTTACAGCTTCATACATTAGAACAAATCCTAAAATTGGATTAACATGCTACAGTAAGGCTAACTGTACCAGCTGATACGCTTAAGTTGGTACCGGAACTTCGCAAAACAGCCTCAGAAAGAACTACACTTTTTCACGACAGCCTACTGTGATCAGTTGAAATACGCAAAACAAGAAGCAGACTAGGTACTAAAATTTGTCATCTCATTGCTGTTTAATTTTAATTTCTAACATCATTCAGCGTGCCATCATCGAGCATTTATAATTTACCCTAAGCTTGTCTATTAACCGTTTCGTTGAGTTAACTTGATGTTAACCGTTACGAAGATCTTAATTAGGATGGTCGCAAGGTGGGAGGTGGCATGAAAGGTTCTTCAGCAAAAATGCCCTTAATTAACGTCGACTTTGCATGCAATTCCATCATCACAATCTAAGTTATTCCTGTTTACCAAATTGCTTACTTTACCAAATTACCCAATTACTTTTTTTGCCACGAATTTGGATTTATGGCTATCGCGGCACCGTTGCACCGTCGTTGTAACAATGATAGCAATTGAGAAATTTTGACGAGGCAGATAAGAAAAGAAAGATTTCTTGGGAATATTGAAGGCTTAAAAGTCCTCTGTAGTCCTGGGCCATACTTTCAAAACTCGCTAAATGAACGTAAGTACTTACGCTCTATTTTCTTGTCTATGATTGGTGGATTTTGCTTGAAAGGCCGTCAATGATTGGCTGATGAACTTACGATATCTCAACTTTTTTTGAAAGTATGGGCCCTGGAAAGTAGGAAAACGTTCCTTTAATGGAAAATGTTTAGAAACTGATTCATTCTATATACGTGGCATTTGTTTGATTTTCATAGTTGGAGGAGCTCGAGTAGATCCGATAGACTCGAGTCGATTAACTGGACATGAGTCCACTTGGTCGAATTTATCAGTGTGCTATATTGGTTTTATTTTTGGAAGTGTTCCAAAACACAAGCTTTTTCTCAATACGAATTTGGTAACAGGGAACAACGACCGAGTAAGATAATATTTCTATATGTGTTCATTATTTTGTTTGTTAATTTCTAATGTCTCATTTGAAATGGGAGTTTAAGTGATCCAATTACGAAAGGGCGATACACTCAGAAGTCTGTTGAAGCACTACAGAAACCCTAAAAAAATTAAAAAAAATAAAAAATTCAATTTTATTTTTGTAAGCTCCATGTTACAGGCAAGTTTGCTCCACCCTAACAAGGAAACTCAATGTTTTCAATATAATACAAAACGCAATAAATAAATCGCACAAAATTATTCGTTCGACGTTCGTTGTTGAAGCCAGCACGACTCTCGACCATTAGACCTCGGCCATCAGACCGCAACCATCAGACCTCGACCATCAGGCCTCGACCATCAGACCTCGACCATCAGACCTCGACCATCAGACCTCGACCTTCAGACCTCGACCATCAGGCCTCGACCATCAGGCCTCGGCCATCAGGCCTCGACCATCAGACCACAACCATCAGACCTCGACCATCAGACCCCACGCAGACACTCTGCTCGTCACATGCAGACCATGAGGCACCAGGAACACGTCACGAAACAATCGGTCTGACGTGTGACCATTCGATGCAGGCATTTTGACGACGTGGCGCCTCGTCATGAAGAAGGCGCACGGTGTGGCAGCAGCGGATGGTTCCATCGTTCATGCCTATTGGATGAGGCGTTCCCGATGCTCAGGTTATTCCTTTCAGTATTTGGTGATTTGGGATCTTAGTCATCAATTTCTAGATAGGGTAAATGGTAAATGTATAGGTTATTCTATTCAATTTTAGGAATTATGACCAAGTTATAGCTCAAGGTAAGCCCTTGAGTTATGATCAAGGTAGGAGAGGTCAAGATAATTGGTAAGTGAGGTTAGGTTAGAGCAGATGTGGTCAGGTCGAAGTCGTAGTGGTAGTGACGTGGTAATTAGAAACCATAGGCGGCCAGAAGGCTGTTGGCCGCGCTGGGACGAGAAGCAGGACGAGGAGCTCTGTATTGCTGACGAGGGGCAGGACGACGAGTGGTAGGACGAGGTGCCGGACGACGAGTGGTAGCTGGAGCCTGGTACACTGGGCGTGGAGTGGTAACTGGAGCTTGGTACACGGGACGAGGAGCAGAGTACTCCCTGGAGTCAGGGAAGCGAGCCTCGCCTTCATAGTTCACCTCGGCGATGAACCCTGAGTCACCGTCGACGGAGTACGTGACAGTCTGGCGGCGACCGTCGGGAAGGTCGACGACGTAGGATCCTCTGGTGTCGTCTCCATCACGGGACTCCTGCTGCTGGAAGTTGTTGGCGTCCTCAGCGACCTGCCACTCGAAGTCGTACTTAGGATCCTCGAAGGAGTCTTGGTAAGAGGGACGGGGCGCGGGGCGTGGGGCGCTGTAGGTGGGGGTGGGTGCCGGGCGGGGTGCGTTGTAGGTGGGGCGAGGTGGGCGGTATGTGGGGCGGTCACCCGCTACTGTTGCCACCACCAGAAACAGAACGCATACCTGGCGAAGAGGGGAAAAGAAGATTAGGCTCCGAAGTGGGTGAAACTGGGTCATAAAGTGGGTGAAACTGGGTCCTTAAGTGAGTCACACTTGGTTCTAAAGTGAGGCGTACTTGGTCTTAGAGTGTCCCACTTAGTCCTAGAGTGAGTCACACTTGGTCCTAGAGTGAGTCATACTTGATCCTAGAGTGAGTCATACTTGGTCCTAGAGTGAGTCACGCTTGGTCCTAGAGTGAGTCACACTTGGTCCTAGAGTGAGTCACACTTGGTCCTTGAGTGAGTCACTCTTGGTCCTAAAGTGAGTTACACTTGGTCCTAGAGTGAGTTACACTTGGTCCTTGAGTGAGTCACACTTGGGCCTAGAGTAAGTGAAACTGTGAAGGTCAAATATACGATTCAAGTGAGAATGACTGTAACTGTGAGTTGATCAGATTCATTGGTCCAAAGTGAAATTAATTGAGTGTCCAGACTACCAGACTAGCTAAGTCAAAGTCAGGCATCGGCTACAAACCTCTCCTGGATGGACAGTTTTTGTGCGTGAGTTTTAGACAGGCGGGTTTTGTTACCATGGAACTGCATCATGTAATTGATCTGTCCTAAATGGAGTTAGATAACCTCCTAAACTTCCTAATGCTATAGGACTCATTTATTTGCAATCAGAGTTCATTATGATAAAATATGAGGAATCTGAGCATCCATCGTGATTGCGAAGGAAAATTATGTAAAATGATGCACAAGTGAGCAACTAAAACAATTTTTTCGACGTGATTGCATCTATCACATTGGTTACAGTAGATAATAAAAAAATTAAGATTAAACTCGGATTTTAGTAACTAGAAAATTACCAATCGAGAATAATCTTTGGTTTTATTAGCTCCGCAGAAAGATTAAAATGAGAATTATCTTGGGACTTAGTAACTGTACATAACTACTGAACTGAGAAAATGCTTTGCTTGACCAGCGTGGTTTCGCTCAGGCAAGTTACGACGGTACGACGTAGACCTTCAATTCTTTCGGAAACATGTCAAGAAACACATTTAATCTTTTATCATTGTTCTGTATATTTTGAAGTGAACACGAAAATAATTCAATTCCTGTTGCCAAATTTCACACACGTCTTTCGTCAGTCTTGTATAAAAAGTGTTATGTTTACTTGACCCTGAAGCGGAGTAGCCATAACGTCAGTCATCTAGTAAAAGTGTTTTTGTTTTCTTGACCCTGAATCGGAGAAGCCATAAGGAAATGCTCCCAATTTGAGCGGCATGAAATGCGGCAGTTTGGCAGCGACAATTTTGAAAGCATACGAGATGAGAAATGCGTTCCACCCTACGAGGTCATGTGAAGCATTTCGCATGATTTTTCCCCATGTCATGGATAGAATATTATTAGAGATTTCCAGTCGGAAAATTCTCTATCGTTACATAAAATAGAAGCATTTTGGTATTCAGGTTCACAACCTTCTCTAAAAAGTGAATGCAATTTTTATTATTATTTATCATGAGAGTATTTACTTACTCGAACAGTCCGTCCCTCCATGCCCTCTATCCCATTAGCTCCTTTTACTGCTCCTTTATCTCCCTCTTTTTGCCTCTCTTTATCTCCCTCTCTTTACCTCTCTTTCTCTCTCGCTCTTTGCCTCTCTTTATCTCCCTCTCTTTGCCTCTATTTACCTATTTCAATTCGCTCAAACCTTCCTGTTCATCTACGCGTTGATGACTCAAATGCAATATGCGCCATTCATTTATTTTAATCATCATTCATAATATTACCTAATAAGATGAAATTAAAGATAATCATAAAAATTATGTTAATGATGCTGACTATGATCGCATACGAACAATTTTAAAATACGACCTCGTTTAACTAAAGACTCGGAGACTAACAACCTGATGGATAAGATTGCTTAGGATATTTATAGAAGAATATTTGTAAGATAACAGAGCAGTATTAATGGTACAGTGGTACCATTATCATAAAAGATGATGGTATATATATGGTATATATATATATATATATTATGATGGTATATATTATCATATACCATCATAAATTCATGTGAAACTTTAATTTCATTCATTCAGTTTTCAGTTTTTCTGGGGTCGTAATCAAGATTTCAATGAACAATAATGCATGACGAAATTATTTTTAGCAGGGCCCAGGAAAACGTTATATTTTGAGGTTATATTTTCTCATGTTTCTGTGAGTTTTTGTCAGAGTAAATATTTTTTTTGCCGGTTTATTGGAAAAAATTTATGGCATCAAATTGAGTTATTGACTGCGGACACTCCGATGCTCTTTACCCCATAACAGCCAAAATACATAATAAATGATAGCTCTCTGCCTTTCTATCATTTCATCCGTTACAATCATTTCACCCGTTGCAATCGTCTCACCCGGTACAATCATTTTACCCGTTGCAATCATTTCCCCCGTTGCAATCATTTCCCCCGTTGCAATCATTTTACCCGTTGCAATCGTCTCACCCGTTGCAATCATTTCACACGTTGCAATCATTTCACCCGTTGCAATCGTCTCACTCGTTGCAATCATTTCACCCGTTGCCATCGTCTCACCCGTTGCAATAATTTCACCCTTTGCAATCATTTCACACGTTGCAATCATCTCACCCGTTGCAATCGTCTCACCCGCTGCAATCATCTCACCCGTTACAATCATTTCACCCGTTGCAATCATTTCACACGTTGCAATCATTTCACACGTTGCAATCGTCTCACCCATTACAATCATTTACCCGTTGCAATCGTCTCACCCGTTGCAATCATTTCACCCTTTGCAATAATTTCACCCGTTGCAATCGTCTCACACGTTGCAATCATCTCTCTTATTATCAGGATTAGATGATTGCTTTGCCCTATTCTTACTGACAGGCAATCTGCTAAATCAAAGCGCCCCCCCCTCCCCTGACGTTGTAAATTAAAAAAAAAATTCCCTCTGAGGCTCAAAAAAAAGACTCCAACCTTATTTTTTTGGTTACTTTATCTAAGCCTTGCTCCGTGCAATTTTTTTTAATCTCTGAAATATATCCTGAAAATGACGAGTTTTCAAAAAATTGCCAGTATTTTGAGTAAAGATTGGACATATTATGAGAAATTCATTGTAGGAATCTGTAAATTTCCTCATTTTGCGGAATTTCCTTCACATATTTTTAAAATTAGAGCCTGCCGTTCATAATTACCTCTAAGTGAGGGTGAAAGTGATAGTTAATATACAGAATACTATAGAATATTAATATATTGTATAATTAATAAAGGGAATACAATGGAATACAAATTGACCTGCACCAATTCAACCCCATGAGTATCACATACCACCAATTAATTAAGAAAATTTCTAGTTGAACTAATAAAATAAATTGAATCGGGAATTAATATACTTTTTTTATTTACTAGAAATAAAATTTATTTGACAGAAGATATGTATACTCTTTGACCTCCGGTTAGTTTTTCCAACTGCCCGCTGCCACTGCGATGACTACACATTTATCAACTTTTTTGTAAATTAAAAATTGATTGTTAACTCGTAATTTCATTATATTGCTCCCATTTCTCACCTTAGACAACATGTTGAAGGCGAGAGGGAAAGATGTGGTGAGCACGGAGACTGTACGTCAACTGATGACCTGGTCCTGCTTACCCGGCTTTATATAGGCAGGTATGACCTTACGTGGAGCAGTGCCGCCCTGGGCATGGAGGTAAGCAGGTGGGCGCTCCCTCGCGCGGCTGACCTCTCCCGTGACGTCACCCGACCCACCGACCCCGCTTTCCTCGACTTCCATCTAGACCATTTGTGGGCGGCAGACCTAATGTTCGTTAAAGCAATAGTCCGTTACACTCGCCCTGCAAGCATGGCAATCGCCTTCAGGGTCTGAAATAACTGGAACACAGACACTAGAATGTGCGAACACTCTTGCAAAACACTGGACACTCTGCATGCGCTGAAAACTTCCTTCATTCTGCTCATTCTGGTCACTCTGAACAGTGAGTTCGCTAATCACTATGTTTCTTCTATAATACTGGAAATTATACATATTTTTCTCACTCCGCGCATAGAATAGAATAGAAGTGTCGGCGTTGAAGAAATAGGCACATGGTCTGTTGCCGATTCTTGAATTTTTCGTGACTTGATTCACAAGGGATCCGGCCTTTGGAACCCGATCTTTCCATAACTGACGATTGATTGAGATAGCTGCTGGACTTATTGCCTGNGTGCACAGAGCATGTACAGTGCACAGAGCATGTACAGTGCACAGAGCATGTACAGTGCACAGAACATGTACAGTGCACAGAGCATGTACAGTGCACAGAGCATGTACAGTGCACAGAGCCCCGATCATGCACACTACACAAGGCATGTGCGGTAATTTTTCATTACATATCAGTACGCAGGTTAGGTCAGCAAACCGATGGCATTGTTTCCTGTCCATGGAACTTCGGTAGGAAAAATTATGTAGAAAAGGACGCGTTTGTCGGCAAGGCAATAAATTGTCAGAAATGGAATTAGAATTGGACAAGCTGCTGGGAGTTGACCCACATGTTTCTGGCAGTTGACCCACATCTCTGCACTCGCCAAGCATCTTTTTCTCGCGTACTTCCACTTCTGATTTTCACTTTTGGCCAGGAAGGCAAACTGGGCGATTTAAAAAATCGCCTCAAATTCCGTCAAGGTCGGAATTTGAAACGTTCGCTTTCTGCTCTGCGACGCCTTGCTTCGGAGTGTACATGTTTATGCATTATTTATGATATAAAATATACGTGTAAATATTGTATGATATTTGTATACAAATGCTTTAATTATTGGTATAGTTGGGCCGAAGCCATTCATTAATGCAAATTTCGTTGAAGACCAGAGAGTATTTATAATAAAAAATTTTCTTTTTGTTTTCCTCAATTCGACGAAGTAGGCTTCTGATGGGACTCGAAAATTCATACTTGAAAATGATATATATGATGATAAGATAATAATGCAGGTTGCATGTTCGAAACGTTGTAAAACTATAATGAAATGTCCGGTGTGAACCTTATATTTGAACTTTAGAATCCTATCAGATGCCTAATGCGCTGAATTGAGAAGAGTAATAACAGAATTGTTAATAAGAAATACTCTCTGGTCTTCAACGAAACTTGAATAAATGTTTTCATTATATACATTGACTTTGGATGGATATTAACGTTGAAACAAACAAGCCTGATCATAAGCGAGACTTTTTTAATAGATTATAACTTTCGAATAGATCCGCTAACATTATAAGACAAGAGGTCGAATTATAAATACTTGGGCCTATACTTTCAAAAAAAGTTAAGAGATCGTAAGTTCATCAGCCAATCATTGACGGACTTTCAAGTAAAATCCACCAATCATAGACAAGAAAATAGAGCGTAAGTACTTACGTTCACTTAGCGAATTTTGAAAGTATGGCCCTTGGTTTACAACTGAACTCAATTTTTTCTTAATTAGAAATGTAAAACTATTGTCCAAATAAAACGGGCTAGTATTGTGCTTCAAAAACATGTCAAATGGCTACTACGCTGGACATTCAAACATTGAAAGATTTTGCAGGTTTTAAGACCAAATTTTCGTTTAAATATTATTGGTGCAGATTTTAGCCTACCTGGACAATTAATTTAGCCACAATGTTCTTCTACACATGTACACATACAACACAATGTACACTCTACACATGTACACATACAACACAATGTACACTCCACCCATGTACACACAACACAATATGCACTCTACACATGTACATACAACACAATGTACACTCTACACATGTACACATACAACACAATGTACACTCTACACATGTACATACAACACAATGTACACTCTACACATGTACACATACAACACAATGTACACTCTACACATGTACACACAACACAATGCACACTCTACACATGTACATACAACACAATGTACACTCTACACATGTACACACACAACACAATGTACACTCTACACATGTACACACAACACAATGCACACTCTACACATGTACATACAACACAATGTACACTCTACACATGTACACTCTACACATGTACATACAACACAATATACACTCTACATGCATCCAGTGCAAGGTCTCTGGGAAAGTTCGATCCACAAATTCCAACTAAGCGAACAAAAAATCGATTTGGATCTCGCGCTCAGCTTCTCCTAACCAAGAATATTTTTTAGGAAGAATATTTTTTTTTCCAAGAAAAATATTTTAACCCAGACACCTAACGAATATATATATTTCATCTCTAACTCATATCATACACCAGACACCTGACGAGTGGGTGAAACTGTATAGTCATAAAACGCTTTAGCAAGTCTCTTTAATCGCTTTAACACGTTACTCCGATTGCTTCAACTTGTCCTATTATTTCATTTTTTGTACTGTTTTTAAACAAGGTTGCCAGACAGTCATTTTTTTCGGACAAATTCCGTGATTTAGTTTTTCTCAATTGCGTTGGCCGGCTAAAATTTATGATCGGGGTACTTCCTAATTAAATGTTAAATACTGCAAAAAGAAAATAAATGAAACTTTTATAGCGGAACCTACAAATAAACTAAAATATATTGAGTTATCGGCCTTTTTTTTTGTTCTCGGATTTGGCCGATTTTAGGCAACATGAATTATGTACAACTAGGTCCTGGAGAAATACATTTCGTGGTACGCATATGTACCACTTCGGAGTCAACGAGTTAACTTTAACATCGAGCATCGCTTCAACTTTAACTTTAAACTTTCCGATAAATACGCTAAAAATATCAGATATCGAAGGCCAAGCGCTGTTGTGGTGAAATTTTGAGATGAACGCTCGAGTTGTTAAGATCGCTTAGCCAATTCATTATTAAAGCGCTGTCGCTCGTAACTAATGTTTGAGAACTAATTGTGCTGGTGATCTTTATGTTGCGGATAACACCGTTAAGGGGCTAAGAAGCAACTTTCATTGTTTTAAATGGTTTTCAAACCACAGGTTTGGCTTTAAATCCCCGAAAAAACGTTATTCTATGGTTTTCAAACCATGGGTTTGGCTTTAAAACCCCGAAAAACCGTTATTCTGTGGTTTTCAAATCATGGGTTTGGCTTTAAAACCCCGAAAAACCGTTATTCTATGGTTTTCAAACCATGGGTTTGGCTTAAATCAACTCCATTACTGAAACCATTAACACGCTCTGCCTGCTATAATTGTTATATTATTAGGGTTCAAAATTGGGTTACGCATGTCTTAATGAATTTTGTAGTATATTCTTTACTTATTTCTTCAATGGCTCCATGGAGTAAGTCCGCATGCCACTGCTAACATGTACGAAGAAGAATGTGAGTCAGCACGACTCACTTGGAGCAGCCATCGGAGATTACTAGCTAGGAAAACTAGAGGATCTGGTCGACGGCATCTGGAGAAGCTAGTTGTTGGGAAGCGTGGAAATTGAGTCACCTGTGACAACAGTAGCCCCGATAGTTTATAATGATTAAATACACGATTAAATATTTATCTAAATTATTATTTACTTCATTTTTCAATGCAAAATATTGTCCAACGCAAATTATTTTCAAATGCAAAAAAAAACAAATTAATTAATAATTTATAAATTATTTATCAGTTTTAGCGTCGTGATTTTTTCAAGACACTTTGTGCCTCAGCGTCGAAAATATAGGCTCCATAAAGACATCCATTCATGCTCTAAATGAATAGAAATAAGGAAACTGCCCGAAAATTCACTTACAAGCGTTCGAAGTTCTCCACCAGCAATGTATAATTTGACGAGCTTGTTATACGACATTGACCGTTATAGCTTGTTGTTATATACGACATGATCGTTATGTTATACGACAAAGAAATTTGACGAGCTTGTTATACGACATTGACCGTNACCTGTCTCTTATACACATCTAGATGTGTATAAGAGACAGACATTGACCGTTATAGCTTGTTGTTATATACGACATGATCGTTATGTTATACGACAAAGAAATTTGACGAGCTTGTTATACGACATTGACCGTTCCTATAGCGGCGACATTGTGTTTGTTATAACTACCAAAAAGCTTCCTTCATGCAGCGGCCGCAGCAGTGCTACGGAACACACGCTAAACTTTCATGAAATTCAACCGCGTTATGTTTTTCGTGAAAATTGTTAGGAATTATCAAGGTTTGTGTACAGTGCATAACGATGATTTTTTTTGTTTAAATTCATTAAGTAATTCAAAGAAAAGTGAAACAATCAGTAGAGTAATTGAGTTCATCTATCGGACGGAGAACTTTTTAGAACTAATTGAATCGGTTGGATGGCCATATTGTTTGAATTAAATAAAATTATGATAATTAATGCACTTGGAATAGATCTCCATTCATTCTGTTCTGTGTCATAAATAAAAACTACTAAATGGTAAATGTAACATAAACTGTTTTAATTTGATCACAGTGCAAACAGTAATAAAGTTTTAATGGGGTCTCGCCCTGCATAATCTGCATCGATCGACCAAGACACGTTTGACCAGCTAATGGCCTTAACCCTCATGCATTTGGATAAGATTCGCTTAAAAATAACCACGTTTGCCGTATTTCGCAAACATTCCAACGGTGCTTGAAAGTTCCTTTAATCACCA